AAGCTGTGAGGAGCAGTGATGCATTCAAATAATGCAAAATACATTTAGGAAGGCAAACACACAGCTGTCCTTGTGAAACTGAAAGGGAGAGATGAGGTGGAGTAAGTGGAGGCTACATCTTTCTGTGGACTGATTAAGAACATGAAGAAGCTTCTGACTCTCTGTTCCTCTTCTCTCTGCTGGTTCTGTCTCTGTAAACTGTCCCAAAGGCCTTTATGCTCATAAATAGACGCAGTCTGCCCTCTGCTGGCTTTCCATGTTCACAACAACTCCAAAATGAGATTAAAGAAGATTAATTTTGCCCTTTGCTCTTTTCCTGATCATAACGTCAATCTGTTAATCCAGAAGCTTTAATTGTGACACTCCTGGTCTCGGTGGGTTCAGGTCTATAGCTGCCCTATGTTAGAACACGTTATACCCTTGATTATCTCCTCCATTTAAGTTTTTTTTTTTCATTTAAACCCTCAAGAACTTTAGGTCTCTCAGTTTGAGCCAGTCCTATCTTTCCTTTGAAGGATTGGTGGTTTAAATGTTTGCAAAGTGTATCAAACCCTTAAAGGGACATGCAATCAAAGCCAGAGTTTTACCTCAAAGTTGTGTTTGTGGATGAATAAATAACCTTTTTCTGCTTTTCGTTTAATTTTTAAAGTTTAATGTCATCAAGCCTAAACATCATTATCACCAGCAGCTGCTGGAAGGATTACGATTCATTTTCTGCTCTGATGCATTTCAGCTGAGATATGAGTCACTTCCTGTTGGGAAAGTTTAAAAAATGCTTTTACTTTTCGACCGAAAAGAAAAACCAAACATGTGTCACTCTGAGAACTTCAACATGAATTCAGACTCAGATTAGCACTGATTTTTTTACGACACTGACTGATCCTGGTTCATTTTGTTGGGCTCATTCAAGACACTTGTTTTTAACCATAACAGAAACCTGTATGAAACAGCCCTCTGAGGGTCGATGGAAGGAAAACATAAACAGCCCATGATGGAATTAGACCCCCAACCTTCTGTAAAGCATTACTCAGGTTAGTTGTAAAGACAGAGATGAATTGAGTTCTTAAAGAATCAACCTCTATCAGTGTCCTGTTTCCTCTTTAGGTTGATGAAGAGAGGAAGTTTCTGCAGCATCAGTCCAGCATCTTTCTCTCTCCGTTTCTTTCTGGGCATATTTGGCGGCTTTTGTTTTCACTTTACATTGTGTGCAGTGTTTTAGTCTGCAGGCTGTTCAACTGCTGGTGGTAGAGGAGCTGATCATGTGACCGTCACATGCATATGACATATTGCAGTAAACCTGTCTTGTTGACGCTTTTTACTGGATCATCATGCTTTCACTTTAAATTTGGTCATTTTTTAGGGATAACAGTACCTTAAAATGTAAAACCGTAGCATTGTAACCCTAATTTGGAATAGTTGAGTAAGTGTTAAAGTATGAATAAGTGTTTGTATATGTAAAATGTACAAAATAACATTTCAGATATCTACATCTTAATTTTTACATTGCAAAAACGATGCAATTTTGAGCTTAAGTAACGGCTTAAAGAATGGATTGGTGTTCATAAGAGGGTTCTAACTGTATATCTTTGCAGTTTAAGGGCTTTTTAAAAACCACAGAAGACTTCTTTTGTCTTTTATTTGAGCTGGTTTTACCTTCCCACGAATAGGATATATTTATAGATTATCTGAAGGATATAAGAGGTTTTTAAGATAAACAATCCCATACAATTTTAAAGGTGATCATGTTTGAAACAAATGTAGTAAAAGGGTCCTCTTGGAAGCCCTTGTGGCAGATAAAATATGATAAGGTGCCCTGTGGCCAACTGTGCAAGAAAATGTGATGAAGTGCTTTCTAAAGTGTTCCTCCAGTTGAAAAAAAATGATGCCATGCTCGACAACTATCTATGTGCTGGTGAACGCATGCAGTGTTTACATTGAAATGTAAAATTCTGTTTTCATTTTTTTCTTCTAAAATGGTTCAAAAAAATGCATTTTAATTTGAATGGTGACATAAATGATGCTTGCCGAAATGGAAAATTAGTCAACATTGTTTATATTGCATTTTAATTTTCTCATCAATTAACATTTAAATATTGTCCACTGTACAGCAGGGTACGACTTTGAGGATAAATAATAATAATCACGGCTTCTTCATTGAGGAGAATGTTATTGTGGAAATACATTTACTTTCTCAAGTTTACATGATCATTTTAATAAAGTCCTCTGTCGGCTTCCATAGTGTGGTGAGTTTTTTTAGCTGTTTAAAAAGCTACATTCCTCACCATGGACTACAGTCCACATAGAAAGTGGCACAAACCGTTGTTTATTCACCTGCTGCGGTGAACGTTACTCACCGGAGCTCTGTGATTGGTCAGTTACTCACCGGAGCTCTGTGATTGGTTAACAGGCGAATGTTAAACTCCTCCCTCACTGCCACCGCAACTAGACGGAGTCAGCAGACAGCTATCCAGCGGAGAGTTTTCGGGCATATTATCAAACCAAGGTTAACGTTAGTAAAATAACCCCCTGTTTTGTTTTTTTTGTGGTAAATCCCTCGTATAACATTTAGCTTTCTTTGCTGTGTGATTTGTGTCGACCATAGGCTCCAGGAAAAGCCCGAGAATGAGTCACTTTAAGGAGCGCTTCGTGACTCTGCTCCACGAGAAGAACTTTGTGACAGACCAACTGGCGACGCTGGAACAAAAAACGGGAGTGAAGAGAGAGTATATCGCCTTGGGTACGTTAACGGAAAAGGAAAGAGGACACAGTTAAACTCGCTTTCATGCATGTGTGTCCTTTGAACATGCTGGAGATAATACCGAACTTGCTTATGGGCTCAACGTCTCCTCCAAGGACTAACGTTAGCTAACATTCTTCATGTTTCGCAAACGTTAGCTAGTTTAGCTCATAAGTTGCCACACAAACTGCAACTGGCAGCCGGTTGTGGTTGTTAGCATGAGTACGTGTCTCTTCAGTGTGGTTTCATATCCTGTGTGGGTGGCACTGTTGGCTGGTTCATCTTATCAACCGTCTCGTGCTCAAATACCAAAGTTCATCCAGCTCAGACTTGTATGCTACATTAATGATTAGAGTTAGTTATAATCCTCCTCACACACACACACACCTATTTCAATATACTGCTTGTACTATCCCACCAGCAGCTGGTCCCAGGGGTATTTTTAACACGTCCTTAAATATCCGGTGCAATGCATAGATGGAAGGAGATTCTAGGATGACTGGTTATTCAACTGCAGGCTGCTGTCAGTCAGCTTTTAGGAGTTGTGTTTTGACACGGCTCTTGTTGTCGGTTCGCACAGGAAAAAGTCAATAAACGCCCGACACCTAAGGTTACAGTATCCATAAAGTCAACACATTTTGTCTACATGTTAAGCCGAGCTGTCCTACATTTAAACCCATAGGCTTTACTGAAAATAGCTCCTCTATGAGTTGCACGGATGAACGTTAACAACATAGCATGATGATGCATTGGGTCACAGATGATGTTGACTGCTGTGAATGAATGTGTTGTCTGTATTCAGCTGTATTCAGATCAAATAAGACGTTTTTTGGTGTTTTCAGTGAGTGTTCACACATCATCAAATATAGCACTTGATAGAGGTCGCCCAAACATTATAGCCCAATTGATCTTGGATTTTAAAAGTTTAAAAAGCCTATATAATTTATCAGCAAATCTATGCAAGATATGCACTAAGTGAGACATTGAACAGCTGAAAAATATACTTATAAGTTATATCAGGTGGACAAACTATGTATGGAAATGCAATAACTAAACTTGAGCTGAACATCTGTTGATTATTCAATCGGCAGAAAATTACCTGTCAACGATTTTGATAATGGGTTTATCATTTGAGTATTTATTTAAAGCAAAATGGGAACCACATATTCAAGATTTGCTTCTTTATGCTGTTTTTTTTTAGTATTGTCAAATGAATATCTGTGGGGTTTGGACTGTTGGTCAGCTTGGACTCTGCAAAACCATGATGGCCATTTTTCACTATTTTCTGACATTTAATAGAGCAAACAATTGACAGACCAGTGGACAATAAACATGATCGTTAGTTACAGCCTTATTCTAAACTATCTCTTATTGGTGCTTATCAGCCAACATGTCCTGTGACACTGAGGTATCCGTGATGTAGAAGCCAGGCGACTTATCGGTCTGGCTCTACCCAACACCAACCCCTCTGAAGTATCGTTGAGTCACTATTTCCTTCTTGGAATGAATAAAATGATTATAAAATGTAAATTAGATGGTTTATTTGGTGCCGGTTAAAGCTCAGTCAGATCTACATGCAAATAATTGTGTGTTTTTGTACCCACCCACACCCGCACCAAACTAACTCGCAAATGCTGATTGCATGCAAATATCACTTGTCTCGTCCCTACCCTGCATTTAGCTGAAGGTATATGACCTGAACGAGCAGCCAAATCATCCCTCGACCTGTTCCGTTAGCAGAGGTGTCTTATTAGTATCTTGTTTTCAGTGAGGCAACATCCGTTCATCTGATACTTCGGCCACGTTGAAGGCTCGTTACAAACGTGTGCACTGATAATGGGTTACATTGCATCCAATAAATTCTTTCCCGTTTGCTCACTATAATGTCATGTTGTACTAAGCGGTGTCCTTTTTAAAATGTCCACTGTTTAGCTGAGAAGTTCATGCTGACTCTTATGACACTCTGAAGGGACTCCTCTGCTGAGTGGAGTACAGAGAGGTTTCATCTCGGCTGTGTATGCAGCCAAACTCACAGAGTGAGTGGCCGTTGTTTGTTAGCTTCATGTTTTTAAAGCCAACTTCAACCCCTCACCCACTGTACTCTTAACAAAAGGCTTTTGTGATGATTTGCTGCGAAGAGGAACTGTATTTTCAGCTGAATTACAACTTCTGCAACTCTAATTAGTAGTTTGAGTCAGAAGTTACAGGATTACACAACAGATGGCCTTTGCGCCTTTATTTACAGTTCTTTCCACGAGAAGAACATGTGTTTTTCATTTCAAGCTGTAACATCTTTGTGTGGATGCAATGTTAATTTTCTTAGAGCCGTTCAGGAGTTGCTTACTCTCAGCACAGAGTCAGATGGATCAGCTTTGTATTATTTATCACTGACTAAATAAAAAAGTCAGTTTATGATTTCCCTATTGAAAGCATTGCTGTGCAGTGTCTGCTTATGTCAGGCGTTGTCTCCTCTGGGTCTTCTATTTCAACCAGTTCTTCCAGTTTTACCTTTTTGTTAGAGAGAGAGATGGGCCGACGGGGAATTGCACGGATATTTATATATGAGCTGGGACACACAAATGAGATGTAAAGAGCAGGCAGCAGTTAGAACAGTATCAAAGGCTTTTAGTGCTCTGGATACCATGTGACTTCATCATTTTTGAGGGATGAATTTTGTATCAACAGTTGAGTTTGGGAAACATTTGAACGATGTATGCATTACTCGCATCTACAGCTGCTTGAGAGTTAGACAACATTCTCCTCCCACATACAAAAACTCTGAAAAAGTTCAGTTCTGCTATTTGAATTGTTTTATGAACCTGGGAGTGTTGGATGGAAAACGCAACTGGTTTTGAGAAGTCAATCGGTAATGGAAGAAAGGGATAGGCTGAAATGGCTGTTCAGACTGTAATCTCTCTGCTTAAAAGTCAGCATCTGTTTAAGCCTCTGAGGGATTAAGCAATGCAGCCAACTTGCTATTGTTAAGAGTAGGCAGCATACAATTTACTTCAAATGAGCAGGTTTTAGGGCACGTTTGTGTGGAATTCCAGCAAAAACGGTAACAATGGTTACTTAATTAGCTACATCTGGACATTTTATTACAAAATAATACAACAGCTCTGCCATAAATTCCACCTTTTTGTGAAGTTTATAAAATTCAGTTTTTGTTGTCATTGTCGGAAAAGTGTAAATTCAGTTATGTTTGTTATTGAGGGCGTTGTTAAATGTGGTGTCACACTGCATTATATTGAGAGGTGAATAACATGCGGTACAGGGCTTGACGGTAAGCTTTGGGCAAGTAGCTGAGATGTTTTACTTTCCCAATAGCCAAACTTGTCCAAAATGGAAAATGTAGGCCTATTAAAAAATGGATCAAATCAATAGGGATTTGGAAAATTATAATTTATTAACATACAAAACATACTATTGATGTGCTCTCCTCAAAGCCACCAGACCCTATTGATAGAAGCAGTCATTTTACCGTAAGGATCCCAGCAAACTTCATTCAAACTCGATAGAAACAAAATAAAATGCATCAAAGGTTTCTTGGTTCGTCTCTCCACTGTTCCAACAATCACCAACTCTGGTTGCTTTCTCCAGAAGCCTGGCTTAAGTAGTTTTAATTATCTACTATAAGCTGCTTAGAGCTAGTGTTAGGAAGTCAATCAGATGACATTTTGCAGGATTACATTTGATCACATCATATTAACATAGTTTACCATTGCCCCACACTCATTTTCATTGAGTAGAGCTTGATTACATTATAATGTCACTCCGTGTAATCTCTGACGTCAGCTGTTGGCTCTGCTCTAAGCAGGACTGTACTGCCCACCGGCTGAATGTTAACGAGCTTCTCAGGGATGGGCGACTAGAAATCATTAACGCTAATCTCTCATTTTTACTGAATCCTGGCAGATCAATTGCGGTATCCCTAGAAAAGATCAATTAAAATATGGCTGCAACTATTATTTCCATTATCAATTAAGCACTTGGGCTGGAAGATGTCAGACATTTTTGAAAAAAAGACTCGTAGCCCAAAGGGTAAATCTTCAAATTGCTTGTTTTTATCCAACCAACTATCCAAATCCCAAAGATATTCAGTTTACTATTCTATATGGGAAATAAAAGCATTAAATACTCGTATTTGAGCAGCTTAAACCAGCACATTTTTGCATTTTTGATTGGAAAAAAATGACCGAAACTATTAAATTATTTTTATAATATTTGCAAATTGATTGATAGACTTGGCAAAAACATATATTCTATGTGGAAGTCTCTGTTTGCATGTAAAGGCATCTATTAACATTTCTTTGTACAAACACTGTAATAATAATACAGAATTTAACTTGTTTAAAGCCACTTGCTTGTGTGGACTCTCTCTCATACTTGAGATGTATAGGCCACGCTGTTTCACACGACTGTGAGCTTAGCAGTGTATTTAATGTCAATTTTTCCACTCACTGAATGAAGTGTCGGTGTTTGACTTGTGCTTAGTGCTCCTCCTAATCCTGGTACTGTGCTGTCTTAACATCCTGCTGTCAGACACACACTGTCGGGCAACAAAAGTGTTTAGCTAGATATTAGACGTGTTTGTCAAGTAACTGGATGACCTCGTCCTTTTCATCTTTGTCCCGCTTTCTGCTCTCACGTCACCGCTGCCTCTCTCTCTCCCTCTCTGCAGGTTTTCTGGGTTTTGTCGGGCTGTATCTTCTGTTTGGATATGGAGCCTCGCTGCTCTGCAACCTGATTGGCTTCGCCTATCCAGCGTATTTCTCGTATGTACGAAGTTCAGCTCATGAATGCCAAAAGGTAGAAAATGAAAGGGAAAATTTGCCATCTTTTTATGTGGATGGCCAGTCAGTGCCGATAGTAAACTGCAGGTGTTTTTTCCCACTATATCCTCGGATAGAGATGAGATTAAAAATCTTTGAGTTTTCCTTTTAATGCATTTAGAATATGCAACAGGTAATAAGTCCTTTTTTCTTTTTTTTTAACTTAATACAGGGACCCACCCTCCTTCAAAACCATGCTATACATTGTCAAAAACTCTACAGGATAACTTCTAACTGCACCTAGGGTTCCAAGTACTCTTGATGTTATTACCTCATCAATCTTTTGACCTCCAACCTGTCGTTTTGTCCGCTCAGCATTAAGGCCATCGAGAGCAACGTGAAGGAGGACGACACTCAGTGGCTGACCTACTGGGTTGTTTATGGACTCTTCAGCATCGGCGAAGCCTTCTCTGACATCTTCCTCTTCTGGTTCCCCTTTTACTATATTGGCAAGGTAGGCCGGCTTTAAACTGCATTCATTTAGTTGTCTTTCCCTTTCTTTCTATTCTGTATTGTCTTGCCAGGTAAGTCTGCTTTTCCTGTGAAACCACAGACGCTCTGATGCGTTGAGTCACATGAGGCTTGATGTTTTTGGGCCTCTTCACGTTGTAGCTGGCCAACAGTGCACTTGTGTGGACAATTTGTGTAGTGTCGAAACGAGGAAAAGACATTCAGACATCTCTTGCATCGTAGCCACACTATACAAAACTTACCAGGGTTTGTATACTTGGTGTGTTCATACTGTAAACGTGATTAAAAATTATACTAAAAGGGCTTGATTTTTGAGGGAGCTTTTTTGGTGGACACTATTGTCCCCGAATGCACTGTACAAAGGAAATGCAGCACTGGAGGTAGATCATCATGTTTGATGTCGTTTGATGTACTTGCATGATTCTAGCATGTTATGGGGTCGTGCCCACATGTTTGAATGCACTTATTGTAAATCACAATTGGTTTGGATAAAAGCATCAGTTAAATAAATGTGACATAATGTAAATGGACTTGTTGCTCACAGCTGCAAAACATAGGCAGTTCTACAAACATTGGAAGAAACAAAAAAGCTTTCGCATATATTGTATTTTGTTTGTGTGTTGTAAAATATTTTTATGACTAAAAAATATGTTGTTAGTATATACTGTCAAAGCTATATAGTATAAATACTTTTATATACTAGTATGTACTGCACACAGTTCATATTTACGATGCATTTTGGACATAGTAAAGTTGTAAGTTGTGTTTTGAGACAAAGTGACCACACAAGGCCCTGCTTCAGCTAACAAAAAGTCCCATCATTCTATTATTTGGGCCTAATTAGCATGAGCATCATGGTTAACATTACAACAGCACACATTTCAGCAAAATGCTAACACCTATTTCAGTGTCTAGTTGTTTTTTAGGGCTGCAACTAACAATCATATTTAGTATCGAAAAGCTACAGGTTTTTGTTGTGATTAATTGATCCGAGTTTGGACAGGAAGTCACACAGTAGCATAATATCTAAGATCTGCTCTCTCCTCAGTGCTTCTTCCTGATGTGGTGTATGGCTCCGGTGACGTGGAACGGTTCTGAGATCTTGTACAAGCGTGTCATCCGGCCATTTTTCTTGAAACACGAGGCGACCATGGACAATATGGTCAGCGATCTGAGCGCCAAGGCTAAGAACCTAACCGAGACTGTGACGAAGGAGGGTGAGATGCAAACAGTGGTCATGCAAGTACAGCCATACACTATATATATCTATATATATATATATATCTCTATATATCTATATATATCTATATATATCTCTCTCTCTCTCTCTATATCTCTATATCTCTCTATATCTCTCTCTCTATATCTCTCTCTTACTTACTTCCTGCAAAATAAAGTGTTTTTATGCATATGCAAATGATGTACAACTTTACACAAATGTCTAACAGGATAAAATGATGACATTTTGGACAGACGTGGATGTAAACGTCACATGACTGGTTGGTAGAAGCATACAACCGCAAGTCGGTAATTGTATCTTCTCTGTTTGTTCCATCAGCTGTTAACCTGGCCCTCAATGACAAGAACCAGTGAGGTGTGTGTGTGTGTGTGTGTGTGTGTGTGTGTGTGTGTGTGTGTGTG